TCCTTGGTTTGGTGACGGGGAATTCTTTGTCTGATTTCTGGGAGGGGATTTTCGAGTAGGGAGTAGGAGGTGGGATGTAAAGGGTTCTAAAGCCTTTTTACTCCCTTTTATATAGATCTAGGAATCCTAATCAGAGTCTAATTAATAATGAGCCTTCTTTCCTTATTCTAACAGGCTTGGGGCTTCAATATGGGTAAGGGTCCACGATCCTCCGTGGACCATATTAATTAATTAAGGGATCCTTACTAAATTAAGTTCTTTTAACTAATCTTTAACGGAATTAATTAAATAATTAATCCAAGCTTAAAGGGCATAACACGGGGTGTTACAACTAGTCCTAAAAAAACTCTTCAAGTTCATCCTCTCATCAGAAAATATCTTGAAAATGTCCCTACTGACAGTCCATCTTGAAGGGATTTTAAACCTTGGACAACAAACTAAAAACAAACTTTCTAAAATCCTATCCCTCAACAATCCTAAAAGGCAGTCCATCCACAATAATCATCTCAACTAAGGCTCACCTTATCAAGTCTTGATCAAACACCCAAGTACCCAACACCCCCTCAGTTCCTTAACTACTTTCAGTTCCAGCAGAAGAAGGGACAGGTTGGAATGTAAGTAAGGACTACCTTGTATCCTTAGAGTTAGGATTTTTAAGGTAGCTTAAAATGTGATTTCTCAGAGAAGAAGTCCCATGTTTCTTGGACTCACATGCAAACAACTTTGCACAATATAAAAATTTTGCTTTGATGACACAACCCTCATTGATTTTTCATCTTTTCAAAGTGCTCACATACTGGAGATCTGGTCAACCTCTTTCCTTTTCTTTGGAATAAGTGGAGGCAAAGGTTGCTAAGACTGAGATGTATTTGTCTCTACAGTTATGGCTTCCACCTTAGGTTGACTTCCAGACAGACCACTAATACTTTCCATCCAAAAAGGGGAAAGTATTAGTGAATGGGATCGAAATCACTCATGGAAAATCATCAACAATTATGGACAAAGACATCAAGCATGCACATTAGCACATAATTACTTAAACAGGCAGAATTGAGAGAAATCTAGATTCAGGCAATTGAAAACAGTTCCTCATGTACAATCTAGATTTCAGTATTTCACAATTCACAGTTACCATTTAGCAACATAGCCACTTAGAGGCTTTATTTCAATTTAAGGGTCATATATCCATAAACTTACATGTTATAAAATCAAGATTCAAGCACTTGAAAAAGTTCATCATGTATGGATTTTATTTAAAGGCTTCAACCATTTAAGGAGCCATTAACTCATTAAGGTAAACTGAAGATCTCACAGAATACACATAAACCCTGAAATATCACAAATGTGATATCAAACTAAACTGGAGATCTCACATATTACATATAATGATATAAACTCATGGACATATCTGATATCAAAATAAACTAGAGATCTCACAGATTACATATAAACTCAGGGACATCACAAATCTGATATCAAAGTAAATCGGAGATCTCATAAATTACATATAAACTCAAGGACATCACAAATCTAATATGGAAGATTCAAAGTAAACAGGAGATCTCACAGATTACATATAAACTCCGGGACAACACTGCATAAAACTAGGGTTTTCATAATTTCACATAATCACAGATCAGTCATTAGATGACATATAATATTACATAATGACATAAATATTAAATAATACACAAAACATAAAATGATAAAACTAGGGTTTTCAGAATTACTTCGTTTCTCCAATCAATCCCCGAAGAACAAGGGCTTCCGATTTCAACACAGTTACACAGGTCACCGGAGCAACGTCTACGGCCTAGGGCTTCCACCAACGGTTACCGGGCAACCAGTTACAGCCTAGGGCTTGCATTAGGACTCCAGAAGTCTAGAAACCCAACGGTTACCACCTCAGACTCTCAAAGTCACCGGACCACCTAGATGTCCAGAACGAAAGACGAACTCAAAAAGTCAAAGTCTCAAAGTAAAAAACAAACTAACAGAGTAACAGAGAACTGAGAGATGAGAAATCGCCCAGGACTCTATGAAGAGAACTGATAAGAGAGAATAGAGACTGAGAAGTAGAGAGAATCAAAGAAATCACAGAGAATTGGAAATGGAGAACAAGAGAGAGTGAGAGATGAGAGAACTTAAAGAGTATAGAGAAGAGAGAATGAGAGAATTCTTTAGAAGGGACAAAGGGTGACTGTGCAAATGAAAGACTAACCTAGGGTTTCAGCTTAACTTCATCATATATAGTACTCATACACAACATCGTATAACACAGGGTATACCAACCCTAGCGCTACATCGGATATTCAGACGGGTTCGGGTGGCATTTAATGCCCCCAACCCGATGAGCATTACTCGGCTTCTTTGAAGCCAACGGGTCGGATAACGTGTTTCGAATACGGTCTACCCAAAGCAATGATCTGTCGGGTTTCAGGTCGATCAGTTTGGGCAGATATTTCGAACCCTGCACAGGCCTAGTTGAGATGTGAGATTGGATGACCAAGATCTGAGGAATCGTGCAGTGATGCATCTGGTGCAGTTGTGTAGTGGTGCAGTGATGTATATTTACTAGTATTTTTTATGCGTGATGCGCAAAAATTGATGTCCAATATTAGTAATCTATATTAAAATTTTATATTTATTTAGATTTTAGATATTCATATTATTGTATAATAATAAGAATGTAAACCATTTTTATAAATTTGATATTTATATTTTAAGAAATAACGTAACTTATAATACTCCAATATATATCTTCTTCTTCTTTTGAAACATTCATGATTCTTACAAAATATGACTCAATCATGTGACCACCAATTTGAAATAGTAACTGAAGTGTCATAACACTATATTGTAATTCGTCCTTCAATATATTATTATTATTATTATTATTATTATTATTATTATTATTGTTGTTGTTGTTGTTGTTGTTGTTGTCGTCGTCGTCATTGCTCCTGCTGTTGAAATAAAATAATAATAAAAATAATAAAATAATGAATCCCTAAAAGTTGAGGCATTGAGCGGTCACTCACCTTACGCACAACTCTTATCTTAAGGCGATTACTATTGTCGATTTGTCGTGGATGAAAATACCATCTGTAAGTTGTCTGACATCAAATAGTCGAAATCATTAGAACAAAGAAACTTATCAATCTATGTCTAATGCTTATCTCTAGGAATAGCAAATCTTATAGCAAGGATGATAGTAGACCTTGTATTGTGATTTCTTGTTCAAAAATTATGTATATCTAATTAATATATTATGTATTTTTCATTAATAAATTATAGCTCTGTTTGGTAAAAAATTGGCCTATAGGTCAATTTTGATTTATTTGACCACTATTAATTGTTTGATTTAGTTAAAATATCAATATAAATGTTTGGTTAATTAGCTTTTTGCAACTCCAAAAGGCTAAAATTCAAAAAGCTACTCCAAACAACTTTTTCAATTAATTTTTTGAGAAAAGAAATTATACCAAACAGCTATCAGCTAACAGCTAATTTACCAAACACTTTTCTACAATCAGCGAATGTTATCAACTGTTTATACTTTCTAATTAACACAATTAGCTAACAGCTAACAACCATTTTACCAAACAGGGCCTATGTGTTTAGATAAATTAAAAATACATAATATATTGATTGCATATATAGTATGGCTCTTCAATTACATGCACATAATCTGTTAACTGGATTAACATAATATGTTAATTGCAAACACATAATCTAAATAACATTTTCAATTACGATCCACAGTGCAATGTATAGTTCGGTCAATAGTATAATTTGCAAAGAACTAGTTGCCCGTGGCAAATTAGATTGTAAACCATGATCCATATTGCTTGGCTTTAGGTATGAAACGTTTTAAATCTTTAGATTAAGATTAGATGTTCCATTTTTAAAAATACCTACAATTTAGTGAAAAGATTAATAATTATGTTCAATGATAAAAACTTTGTGTTGCACCCAAAACCCATGGGATGAGAAGGCCTAATTTAAATTATTGCATGGAGCTCTTGAGAAGGCCTAATCTTTTTAAAGCACAAGTAAATTTTTTCGCCCACTTCATAGATACATCGTACACTTTACCATTTTATTATTGCGAACTCATTTCTTTAGTCTTCTAATACATTATAGACGACCACATTATCAATGTCATAAGAATTGATCCGAAGGGAAGCTACTAAATAGAAGTTTTGATCACTACACTACCAGCATGTTTATTATTTTATTTGATCAATTTAAAATTTTTCTTAGAATATATATTTTAAAGTTAATTATTTTACTCCTAAATGGATTTTAAAAATAATAATAAATTAAGGCAAAAATTTGTGTGAAACCGTCTCACAAATAGACGGGCTGAGTTAAGATGAAAATCTAATACTTATAATAGAAAATGTAATACTTATATTGAGAAATGCAATACTAATCAGGAATGAAATGTTTATTACTTATAAAGAAAAGTGTAATACTTTTAAAGAAAAATATAATACTTTTGATCTAATTAAAGGATCTAATCTTGAAAAACAGTCAGAACTTCAAGTTTCGTGTAACATTGAAAATTTGTTTCAATGTCTGATTGTAAAAATGTTTTATCATTCCACCAATCTTATTGTAAACTTTTCATTGTACGATTATTAAATTAGCTCTTTTATTTTTAAAAAAATAAAATCTAAATTAAAGGATCTAATATTCAATATTATCTATCTTGATTTCCTTCATAAAATATTTTTTCTTTAAGAAAACGTTGATAATGATGCGCATGTATCTAAATTGTAAAGAAAGCAGTGTAAGGGTAGTTTAGTAAATTAAAGATGTAAGAGTTGTATATATGTGGCAAGTTGAGAAGCAAAGGTGGAGACGTGTAGTCATTGCACCTAGACAACTACTAGACTTGAAGTTCATATTACTTCAATCTACTTCCCTTCTTAACTCGCCAACCTCTTTCCCTTAACACCTGCAAATTTTAGGCTACAATAATCCATCATCATATCATGGGCCTGAAAAGCTTTGAACAGTCGTCATCATCTTCGATCATGACGGATCTCCTCCGCCGGTGCGGTGGCTACGCCGTCATAGACGGCGGCCTGGCGACGGAGCTCGAGCGGCATGGCGCCGACCTCGATGACCCTCTTTGGAGTGCCAAATGCCTCCTCAGCTCTCCTCACCTCATTCGAAGGGTACGTACCACTATACGTTACATGTTGGATGAGTCTTTATTACTTTTTATTTTTTTATTTTAATTATTTTCCCGAATTATTTGTTTCTTAAATCATAATCGGTTATTGATTAATGTTAGTAAAGGGAAATATCATCTTTCTAAATTCTAAAAGATCAGAGGGACCTTATGTATTATACAGTAATAAGCTTTCTCTTCTGGATTTAATTAAGGGGAAGAGTTTAAAAGTGAATATTTCCTGTTTCCTAGTCCAGGTTCGTCTTATATATTTACTCACTTTTTCTTATTCTCTTTTGAGTTTTGGCTTGTGGCTCTGTTTGATATAACTTACTCCGTATTTTAGAATCAAGCTAAAAATAAAATTAAGGGAAATCATTATTCTAGTCCCTCAATTGTTTCACAACTGTTAATGTAGTCTCTAGTTTTTAATTTTAATTTCAATCAATTTTCGATCCTTGAAAATGTGGTTTAATTAACGATATTTTAAACAATTCGATGATCAAATTAGTTGAAATAATTGAAAACTGGCCTGGGAACTATATTGACCGTTGGAAAACAATTGAGGGACCAAAATGGTGATTCTCTATTTAGTAAAACATTATAAATTTAAAATAATAATTTATTTTGAAACGCTATCAAAATAAGCTCATGACTTTCTAAATTTTTTCAATTTTTTTATTATTAATTTATGAAAATGACACCATCTACTCTTCATCAATCAAATTTTAATATTTTAGTTTATCTTTTTATGATTTTTATACACTTATCAGTTAATTTAACAATTAATATATCAAACAATTTAATTTTAATTAGTTAATTTATTAGCCAGACTTTAATTTTCAGCTAAACATGCGTATGGGTTTTTATTTGCTTTTCTTAGTAATAATTACGTGGTGGAAATTAATTTGGATGCGCTTTTGAGGGTGTATATAACTTGCCATTTAAATGTTATTTGTATGATTTGTTTTCGATTTCAATTCGTGTCAATCGGTGCGACTTATAACGCTCTTTCCATTTACAAAAAAAATTGCCACTTTTCCAATAAAACCATCTTACTTGGATGCATGTGGTATCGTAACGGCCTGTGGATTATGGTTTGTACTATCACAAACCAATACATATGAGGACGTGTTTGCTAAATGACTATTAGTTGATTGTGTTAATTAGAAAATATAACTAGTTGATAACATTAGCTGATTGTAGAAATGTGTTTAATAAATTAGCTGTTAGCTGCTAACTGATAGTCGTTTGGTATCATTATTTTTCTAAAAAAGTTAATTGAAAATGTTGCTTTGAACAACTTTTTACATTTTAGCAGTTTGGAGTTATAAAAATTTTTAATGAGTTAATACCCAAAATCGTCCTCGACTATAGTGGTTTTTCTCAATTTCGTCCTAAATGACTTTGGTGACCTAATATCGTCCCAGACTTTTGTGTTTCGCTCAATTTAGTCCTCCATTTGTTATTCCGTCAAATTGGTGTTAAATAAAGGGACAATTCAGTAATGTCAATATTGATCTCTCTTTACTTTCAACTTGTGAAGTGCGAAATTCCTCTTTCTTGTACGAATTACACCCAGAATTACTCCCGGACCTGCAAATCAAATTTTATATTCGCAGTTTTAGGAGTAATTCTGGGAGTAAATCTTAAAAAAAAAAAAAAAAGATTTCGCAGTTCACATGTCTATGAGTAAAGAGATGCAATATTAAAATTACTGAATTGTCTATTTATTTAACACCAAATGGACAGAATAACAAATGAAGGACTAAATTGAGCAAAAACACAAAAGTCTGGGACTAAATTGAGCGAAACACAAAAGTCTGGGACGATATTAGGTCACCAAAGTCGTTTAGGACGAAATTGAGAAAAATCACTATAGTCGAGGACGATTTTGGGTATTAACTCAATTTTTAATTAACCAAACACTTATATTGATTTTTTTAACCAAGTCAAACAACTAATACTGGTCAAATAAGTCAAAATTGACATATAGGTTGACTATTTTACCAAACAGGGTCGAGATGTTTGGTAAATAATTGTTAGTTGTTAGCTGTTAGCTAATTGTGTTAGTGGGTTTGTAGAAAGATGTTTGGTAAATTAACTGTTAACGGATAGCTGAATACATGTAAAATGATTTTCTCAAAAAGCTGATTGAAAAAACTGCTTTGAGTAACTTTTTGAATTTTGCCATTGAAGAACAATCCGTTGTTACAAAAAGCTAATTAATCAAACACTTATATATTGAATGTTTAACCAAGTCAAACAGCTAATAGTGGTCAAATAAACAAAAATTGACTGATAAGCTAACCGTGTTACCAAATTGAGCCACCTATCTTAAAAAAAGAATTTACATGATAATTAAATACAAAAAAAATACTACACATATTAATGTCCCATTAAAATAATTAGAAAGTAATTCTTATATAATGATTTTAGTATGGGAGAGTAGTATAATTTTAAATTTATATTATTAACTTTTACTAAGTGGCTTAATAAATTAAAGTAAGTAGAGCAATATGCGATTTAATGTAAAAAAAAAGTCATGTCAATTTTGTATTAAATTACGTAATTTTCATTATCTAAGTCAATATTGTATAATATGTTTTTAAAATTATTATTACATAAGTTTATATTAATTTAGGATAAGGTCCATTAATTCGTCGTCACAAGTTATTGAAAAAAAAAAAACAAATCTTTTCATTTAATAAATGTTATATATGTCACATTATGAATATTTGTTTTATCTTTAATAGGAGAAAGTAAAACAATTTCGTGGCATTCTTCAAAAGTTATTGTGGTTGGGAGCTTCTAGTACCTCGTCGAACAGTTTAAATTAAGAATATGTTTGGGATGTTGTCACTCATCTTTAAGAATATATTTTGATCTTTTGGAGCCATTAGGTCCCATCACGATGTGTTCGTCCACACAAAAAAAAAAAATAAAAAAAAGAATGTCAATATATTAAAATTACATTATTCATATATATACTAAATGTACATTGTACAAAATAATATAATTTCAATACTCAAATAATGTACTTTTTTTGAATATAATGTACATTTTTAATATACTAAAAGTACATTATTTAATAGTATAGTCCACCCATGAATGATTAATGATGGTTTTCTTATTATGGAGTACGAAATTTTGTGGTAACATATTACTGAAACTCTACTAATTTCCTTAATATGGTCCGTAATATTTATTTTGAGTGACAATTAAAATAATTAAAGTTCAAAGTTTTTAATCTAATTTCAAAATTATTTAGAAAAAAATTATTATAATATTGTTATGGTGTTTCTTTTATCTTATAAAATAAATCAATTTTTATGTATTTTACCTTTGATTTTGATATTAGTGGAAGGACTCTACTTTTTTCTATTCTCTAAGGAAAATGGTAATTCCTAGAGGAAGTTGTGGGTTCGAGACTCAATGGATGCGATATTGACTCTTTGTGTTTTATTTGGTTAAAAAAGTAGTTATAAACATATACTACATTATAATAAAGTCAGTAATATTCAAAAAAAAATAAAAATAAAAATGGTAATTCCTAATTTTACAATTCACAAATCAATCATTTTTTAATGCCCCTTTTAATTTATTTTAATTTTACTACTCCGTAATATTTAGGATTTTGGTTTGTTTGCGAATGGTGAGTGATAAAATTAGTGGGGTGTAGCATGGCTCCATAAATGGAGGTGGGTCCCACCATGTTGTATCTTAACATGAGTATACGTAAGCTTATCCTGCCACGTCATAGTTCTTTTTTAGTCTCAACATCGAATTCATTCGACATCTGTGTTCTGCATGCAATACTTATCAGGCTAGTTAATTATTATTTAATTAATAATTAAAAAAAAAAAAAAAAAAAAAACCAACAACAAATCAAACTTTTATACTTAGGTCTCAAAGTATTCTTTTCATGCTTTTTCAGCTAATGTTGATATTAAGGGTTTAAATTATCCACGAAATTATATGGAAAATTGCAATTGAGTCATCCAACTCCAAAAAAAAAGTGTAATTAGTTATTTTCCTATTTCTAAAATTTCGTCAATTTGATCCTCGAAATATTTAACTGACGATCAAAATTTTAAATAATTCGATGATTAAATTATTTAGAATTGAAAATTAGAGACTACATTGACAGTTGGAAACAATTGAGCGACTAAAATGGTGATTTCGCATTATTATTATTATTATTATTATTATTATTATTATTATTATTATTATTATTATTATTATTATTATTATTATTATTGTTGTTGTTGTTATTGTTATTGTTATTGTTATTATTATTATTAGGGAAAATGACACTTTTTCCCCCTTTGTTATATACTTATAGCACTTTTTTCCCCTAAATTATTTAAGTGGCAGTTTTTTCTCCTGATATATTAAATGGACATATTTACCCTCAAAATAAATATTTTATTTATTTTTCTTCTCCAACAAATTATAACCACGATTTGAAAAAATAAAATACATTAAGTGTTGAACTTAAAATATTTTAAAAATAAAAAAATAAAATTTTAAAAGAAAGTTTGAACCAACCGTTCAAATTGGATCCAAAATCGTGAACCGACGGTTCAAAATAAAACTCAAACCGCGATTATATATACTTATACGTGAGAGTCAATATAAATGCGGAAAAAAACATACACTATTTGTAAATATTATAATTATAATTTAAGTTATTGCTAGTAGTTGTTCCGATTTGAACCTCCGGTTCACGGTTTAGGATCCATTTTTTTCCAGTTCACGATTTTAATAAACGGAAATCCAAATATTGGGTTATGTTATGAATCATAACCGAAATTTTTTAATTTGATTGCTATAGTGTTTGGTTCAGTTCGAACCGAACCGTGGTCATCCCTACGTATAAGCAATAATTTGTTGAAGAAGAGAAATAAATAAAACATTTGTTTTAAGGGTAGAAATGTCCATTTAATATTATCAGGGAGAAAAACCGCCACTTCTATAATAATTGAGGAGGCAAATGTGAATGCATGAATAACACAGGGGGAAAAAATGCTATGAGCATATAACACAGGGGGAAAAAATGCCATTTTCCCTTATTATTATTATTATTATTATTATTATTATTATTATTATTATTATTATTATTAGGAAAAGATTTTTATTCAATATGGCAATTTCTTTGGGCAAAGTGGCATGCCTAAGTCTGGGAGTATAATTCTCTTGAGCACCAAGTAGGCCTAATGTATTAGTAGCGTGTTTATGCGCTATTGAAGTTGAAAGCAAGGTGGTTAACATAATTAAAATTGTCAAGAAATTACTAATCCGTATAAGCAAATAATTAATTTTGAAACCAATGCTTCATGCTTGTAGAGAGCATAAATAAATGTAGGTCTACCTCAATGGCAACAGTTCAATACCCATGTATGAACCATTGTCTTTGAAAAAACCGTTGTGTTTGAAAAAATTAAAAGTGTTGAGTCAAAGATAACGATATTTTGATAAAATTGTTGTCTTTTATGTAAAAGATAGTATTTTTGTCAAAAATTGTTGTCTTTGTACTATTGTCTACGTGCATTTTTCTTGTAGTGGTATATGTATTCACGTTCACCAGTCTAGATTAGATCGAAAATGTTAATTATTTACAAACAGAATTAGTTACACGAGGCAATGTTATGAGAGAAACATTTAGCTTGTTGCATTTAGGTTAAGGTCCGGATGGGAGCTCATGTTTGGATTAGACCTACCTACTAATAGAAACACTTCAATTGTAACGTTACATATATGTTGATATTGAAATATTATTACCCTGTTGGAATCATGTTACAGGTGCACTTAGATTACCTTGAAGCTGGGGGAAACATCATAATATCTGCATCTTATCAGGTTGGATTTACCCGTCAAGTGTTATATTTTAATTTAATTTGTTTACTACTAAGATGGATCAGAAGTCTAAGTACCCGGTGGTTGGGAATGATTGGGCAGAGGCCGGTAAAAGACTTTTTGTTGGTGATAATAAACCAATAATCGATTTAATATCGTAAAATAATATTTATATACACACACGAAGTATATAAAATATTATTCGATATATATATATCCGAAATATATATATATATATACACACAAATATATATATATATATATATATATATATATATATATATATATATATATATATATATATATATATATATATATATATATATATATATATATATATATATATAAATCAGACCACCATGGTTATATGCATGAATATCTACAGAAAAGATATATACATATCAACCAAATGGAATTTATAATTCACAGATTATAATTCCAACCAAACTATAACATAAAAGGAGGATTTTTGCTTAGAAGCATAATCCAAAATCGAAAGAAGGAAAGATTGGCTCGTGTTTGGGTAAGGGTTTTTAGCGTGAGTCAAGAGACCACTCTTTCCTTAAAACCTTATTTGCCACCTCCCACAAGTGCTAGGAGCGCCGTGGCCTAGGTTTCCCAGGATAAAACGCGCTACGGTTCGACGTTTGAGCACCCAAACGAACGGACCCGGCGAACTAGAGCAAAGCTATGAACACAGTTTATGCAAAGAAAGGAGTAGAAGCAGAGTTTTGAGGCGAGAAACCACTTTCTGTGTTGTGTGTTCTTGTCACTATTTTTTCTTGTGTAAAATCTGCTCCCTCTACCCCTTCTTATATAGGGCTCAAAGAATGAATAGCATTCATCATGGCATTTAAATTGGTTTTAAAACCAATTTTGTAACTCTTGAAACAACATGGCCATTATCCAAGATTTAAATTCAGATATTAAAAATTGGAATTAATAGAGAATTTAATTCCTTAACGGTTGAATTTAATCTTACAACGGTCTAAAAGCAGAAGGCAAAAAACCTGTTGCTGGTTCGGCTCCCAAGGCCGAACCCACGTTGTCCCATGTTTCGGCCATAGCCGAAACAACAAGTTTCGGCCACACAAGGCTGAAACCACAATGCCATGTTCAGTTTCGCCCCCCAAGGCCGAAACAACACATCTCTCCAATGGCTATAGTGTGTTCGCCCCCCCAAGGCCGAAACAACACATCTCTCCAATGGCTATAGTGTGTTGGAAAATGATACCGAAAGTTGGCATAACTTAGCCCGCAAGGCCAGCCAATTTTCGTGCCCGCAGGTGCCGACGCACACAAGCTCAGGCTTGATTCAAGCATATACGATCTTGTTTCTAATTGAAATTTGATTTGCACCCCCCTACGCGAGAGAGCCTCTATGCTATACAATTCTACAAGCTCTAAAAAAGCTCTTGTATAAAAGGGGGGTCAAATCCTCTTTCCAAACCAATGTAGGACAAAAGCTCACTTTTTCTCTTCATTTTCCCAACTCAATGGGTCTACTTTGAGAATCAATATCTCATTCACCCATTATCCGTTTTGAGCGTACAATATATCAATCTCTTCGTCTCACTAAGAAGAGCCCGAATCCACTTTGACCCGACCCAAATCGGAAGTGGACCCCACTGATAATTGTACCACAAAATAGCCAATCAAAATGCCATTTTAATGCTATTTTTCCAACACACTTAAAGGGTCAAGTCTAATGCCCAGCCTCCTGTAAATGTGTGACGGTAAAAGAAATAAAATTGTGTTTTCGCTACTAGCTATAGCTTTTGGCGTAATGGTAAGCGCAAGTCCATAAAGTTGCTACTTCAGTACTAGTTATAGTTTTCTTGTACTACAGGCTACTCCAGGGATTGGAGGCCGGTAAAGGCGTGCCTTAATAGGCTAAGTCCATAAAATTGCATTTGCTACTAGCTAGCTATCGCTTTCTTGTACTTGTACTGTACAGGCTACCCTCCAGGGATTTGAAGCCAAGGGCATACCGAGGGAAGAAGGAGAATCCCTATTGAAACGAAGCGTGCAAATCGCATGTGAGGCACGGGACATATATAATGACAGAGCCACCAAAGGTGGTTTTGACATTATTAATGGAGATGAAACAAGCATAAAGCAACGACCAATCTTAGTTGCTGCCTCTGTTGGGAGTTATGGAGCTTATTTGGCTGATGGTTCTGAATACAGGTCAGTGAAATTGTATTTTATTTTATGTTTTAATGAATGTTGTATATATATATATATATATATATGGTGCGCTATATATATATGTAGTGGGATGTACGGGGATACCGTCACCATTGAGACCTTGAAGAATTTTCACCGGAGAAGAGTTCAAGTTCTAGCGGATTCTGGAGCTGATCTCATAGCATTTGAGACAATCCCAAACAAATTGGAAGCCCAGGTATGTATGTATAATTAATGTCACGGAGTCAGTTTGTAAACGATGAGCTTAAGAAATAACATGAAAGTTTTATAAGGAACCTTAAACTATCCAATTGTTACAAATGTGCCCCTTAAGGGTACTTATACCAATTCCTCCCTTCAATGGACGGGGGAGATCGACTAGATCATACGGCTGAAAATTAATCTCTAGAACCCTCTTAAAAATTTTATACAATCCTAAGGGCGGGTTCTCTAGTTAAAATTTTAATATTCTACAGACCTCTACTACCTCCCTGGTTGAAAAAATCGCTAGGCGCACGGGGCGCCCGTGTATTTGTTATTTAATTTTTTATTTTTAAAAATGTATTAAATTTTTTTTTAATTTTTTAAGACTTGGTAATTCTAAACTATTTAATACTAAAATATTAAATATTAGCCTTAAAACATCTAAAGTTTGAACAATTTAGAGTTATTTCGCTCAAAATCATGTCGTTTTGAGTGAAATAATCCATTTAAAAAAGAAGGGAACAATAGCTAGTCAGCTGACTAGGGGACCTAGTCGATGCCTAGGAGGTCTAGTCGGCTGATTAGAGGCCTAAGCAGTCAGCGCCTAGGCAGCACCTAAGTGGCCTAGTCGGTTGTCTAGCTGACCAGCCGCCGAGACCACCGATGATATGCTATGCGGTCGGTCAGGGCCTAACGCCGATTAATCGATGTCTAGGTGGGATTTTTGTAACCCTAATTACCTCTCTATATGCCTATAGAAAATTTTACAAATAAGGTGCTTATATACAAGTGCAAGAAAGCTTTAGAACGATGCAACAAACTTCGGAAACTCGTAGCAATGTTGCCCGGGCGCTACATTAAGCTAGCTATATATAGCTGTTACATACCTTACCTAACTAAGCTAGTTCATTATTTAATTTTCACTCGGGGCATTAAGTTACAATTGTTATGTTGTGCATCCGTATGCACCATGCATGGTGCATACGGATGCCAAAACGACGTCGTTTTATTAAAAAACGCGCGTCTCCCTTTTAAAAAAAATTCAGGTTCGATTCCCAGCAACAACATTATATTGTTCATTCATTCTGGAATTTTAGTTCATAGATTATGGAATTATAGTTCATTGATTATGGAATTATAGTTCATCGATTATGGAATTGTAGTTCATCGATTCTGAAATTTTAGTTTATAGATTATGGAATTTTAGTTCATTCATTCTGAAATTTTTAGTTCATAGATTAGATTATGGAATTATAGTTCATCGATTATGGAATTATAGTTCATCGATTATGGAATTATAGTTCATTGATTATGGAATTTTAGTTCATATGTTGTTGCTGGGAATAGAACCTGATTTTTTTTTTTTTAAGGGAAGACGCGCGTTTTATTAAAACGACGTCGTTTTTGCATCCGTATGCACCATGCATGGTGCATACGGATGCACAACATAATTTGCCATTAAGTTAAACTCTTGTATGTCAATTATTATATAGGCCTATGCCCAACTTCTTGAGGAAGAAAAGATCAAAGTTCCAGCTTGGTTTTCCTTCAATTCTAAGGATGGGATTAACGTAGTGAGTGGAGATTCAATAGAAGATTGCGCTTCAATTGCTGATTCATGTGCGCAAGTTGTCAGCGTTGGAATCAATTGCACTCCTCCCAGATATATTCATGGACTGGTACAAGCAATACAAAAGGTATGTATAGTATAACAAATTAATTAAGGGGTGTATTTAATATAATCTGATTTTCATAGATTTTTAAACTTTTATGAACTTTAAAAGTTTGAAAATATTCAATTCAAAATTTTAAGGGTCTTTAAAAGTTTTGAGGCATTCAATCAAGATTTTTAAAGAATCTTTAAAAGTCGGGTGATATTCGATTAAAACTTTTAAAGAGTCTTTAAAAAGCATGCGGTATTCAAAAAATTGTAAACTTTTGTAAATTCTTTTATTTTTAGACTTTTTGTAGACTTTTCCTTTTCAAATATAAATAGTTGAAATCTAACTATCAATCTTAAGATTATAAAGTTCTCTTTCTATCAACTTTGGATGTTTTCTCTCTTTATTTAAATTCTATTTTTTCTTCCTATTTAAACTTTATAAATCTTATACCTAAATTCAATTAATTATTTTTTCTTCATTATCCTATTTTTTTTTTTATGTCATACTCTAGCAATTTTTTTTTAATTTTTTTTTTATCTCCTAAACTTTACCATCCTCGTCAAAAACTTCTAAATAATATTATTCTTTATATATATATATATATATATATATATATATATATATATATATATATATATATATATATATATATATATTATTAATATTATATTTTTATTTTTTTTATTTTATGCAACCAATAATTATACTTTTAAATATTTTATTTGAACAATTATGTTACTATAAATTTTAATATTCAATATTGTTATGAATTTCTTATATTATTTTTTTTTATGTTTATTAATATACTAGTTTTTTACGCGCATTGCGCGATTGGGATAATGCCCAATGTTTTGTTTTTTTTTTTTTGTTTTTTTTTTTTAAATAAGTACTTTAAAGCATATTAAGGCAAGATTATATTGGAATTGTTCATGCATAGATAATTGAATGTTAAAATTGCGTATTTAAATAGGCAATTTTAAATTTACAAATGCAAGATAATATAGTCAAGATTGATTATAATTGTCAATAAAATAATTGTATAGGTATGGTTGAAACCAAATACGGGACATAAGGGAGGCAGAAATAAAAATTAAGGCATAAAATATTAAATATATACTAATACTGAAGAGCTAACTGCTGATTGCCAAACAAGGAGATTGCAAGATAGTTTCCCACTTTAATTTGTTATGTGATTCAAATACTGTTTTTGTCAATAAATCCCCAAGTAGTTAATATGATTGGCTTAATTATATTTTTTGATTTTTTAAAAACAATTATTATTTATTATTATTATTATTATTTTATTATTATTATTATTTTATTATTTTTTTTTTATTTTATTATTATTATTATTATTATTATTATTATTATTATTATTATTATTATTATTATTATTATTATTATTATTATTATTATTATTATTATTATTATTATTATTATTATTATTATTATTATTATTATTATTATTATTATTATTATTATTTTTTTTTTTTTATTATTATTATTATTATTATTATTATTATTTATTATTATTATTATTATTATTATTATTATTATTATTTATTATTATTATTATTATTATTATTATTATTATTATTATTATTATTATTATTATTATTATTATTATTATTATTATTATTATTATTATTATTATTATTATTATTATTATTATTATTATTATTATTATTATTATTATTATTATTATTATTATTATTATTATTATTATTATTATTATTATTATTATTATTATTATTATTATTATTATTATTATTATTATTATTATTATTATTATTATTATTATTATTATTATTATTATTATTATTATTATTATTATTATTATTATTATTATTATTATTATTATTATTATTATTATTATTATTATTATTATTATTATTATTATTATTATTATTATTATTATTATTATTATTATTATTATTATTTATTATTATTATTATTATTATTATTATTATTATTATTATTATTATTATTATTATTATTATTATTATTATTATTATTATTATTATTATTATTATTATTATTATTATTATTATTATTATTTATTATTATTATTATTATTATTATTATTATTATTATTATTTTTTTTTTTTTTTTTTATTATTATTATTATTATTATTATTATTATTATTATTATTATTATTATTATTATTATTATTTATTATTATTATTATTATTATTATTATTATTATTATTATTATTTATTATTATTATTATTATTATTATTATTATTATTATTATTATTATTATTATTATTATTATTATTATTATTATTTATTATTATTATTATTATTATTATTATTATTATTATTATTATTATTATTATTATTATTATTATTATTATACCCTTAGGTCATTTTACATGTTAATCTAAACAACAAATTTTTTCAAATATCTTTTTACCAACCGTTGATATAATTCGCTGGTCAAATTCGTTAATATAATCCGCTAACGCTAACCACTAACTGCTAATTGCCAAACAAGGACATTGCGAGGTAGTTCTCACTTCAATTTATTGTGTGATTTGAATACTCTCTTTGTCAACAAATCTCTCAAGTAGTTAATAAGATTGGCTTTATTAATTATATATATATTTTTTAACTTTTTCATGGTATTAATAAAATACTTGGTAAATAAATATATATCATTATTTTGTATTATAACTTTGATATTTAATTAAAAAAATAGTGCAAAAAAAAGATAATAGACAATGTAGTAAATATAATCAATTGATGAATTTGAATGTAAAGAATTTTTTACATTGGAGAAATATAAAGAAATATAACTAATAAAATTATTTCACTTAATTATTTTATTGATAATGAATAATTTTTTTTAATAAAGACATTGTAAGGACAATGTAGCGAATATAATCAATTGATGAATTTGAATGTAAAGAATTTTTATATTGGAGAAAAATAAATACAATATAACTAATGAAATTATTTCTCTTATTTAATTTATTAAAATGAATATTATTTTTTTGAATAAAGACATTGTAGACACATAATTCTAAATTAAAGAAATGCATATGTATTATTTTTTGTTGTAGCTAGCTACTAAATTATTATTTATTAATTTAATAAGAGTAAAATAGAGTACTAATTATGCCAACTTTGATTGAGATGAGGTTCGAACCTAAGACCTTTCTTATTTGAATCAATGAGTAAGTTAACGGTGAACTAACAGAAATTAACGGAAAAGATAATATTTAACGGAAAAGTTAACGGATAATCATATTCATTAAGGATAAATTAGGAAATCTTAAGTAAAAATTAAAATCTGATCAATCTGAGCCATTCATTTGATTAAAAAAATTCGACCGCCATTTTTTCTACCCATTATAGGCCTAACTCTCTTGGGCTCTTATTAGTATATAATAATAATAGATATAAGGTATTAGCATATAACTCTCATCATATTATGGATAAAAAATAATAATATTGAGAATGTTAATGTGAGTGAAGAACTATTAATAAGAAGAGTTTTATGATATATTACAACATGTTCGGTAAGAAAATTATACTCCGTAATTAATAAGAATCGAAATCATTGAAAAGTTTGTAAAGATTTATTCAAATTAGAATTTCAAAGATTTTTGTAGATATTTTAAAATAAAAAAATTTGATAAAAGTTTTGTATAGAATTTTATAAAGTTTTAAAAATTTTTGAAAGACTATAAAAGTCAATAAAAATTTATTAAAATTGATCATTTTAAAAGTCCTGGAATACATCCCCTAAATTTATTTAACTACTATACACACACACACACACACACACACACACACACACATATATATATATATATATATATATATATATATATATATATATACTTCTTGGGTGGCTGCAAGTTTATTCACCCACACATATATAACATTGTGGCCGCCCGCAGGTCACGAACAAGCCCATACTTGTGTATCCCAACAGCGGTGAGACTTACGATGGTGAGAGAAAGTTGTGGGTGGTAAGCAAAATAACGTACATGGATCATTTTATTCAATTCAATTCAATTCTCTGCTTACATTATTATATATATTATTAATATTAATATTATTAATATGCTTTTCTAAGATCAAATGTTTATCACTGTGCCAAAAGCTATAGTTCGGTGTAACTTTATTTCATAGTTTTTAGTGGTAAACATCTGATCATAGAGTTAAGATTGGTTGGTGCTGGGATGAGAAATTATTGGGCGGAGGCTGGTAATTCGGTAAAGAGTCAAGTCCAGCACCTTGCTCAGCTCCTGGAAAATATGTTAGCTACAGGAGGAATTGTTAGGCGAAGGCCGGTAAAGGATCAAGAACACAACACTCTACCTCTCGAAAATGTGTTGGTGGCAGGGAGAATTGTTGGGCTGCCTCTCAAAAATGAGTTATATAATTTTTTGCGTAGTGGTAATTTGATTGAATAATATAATTTTATTTAATTTGCAGGCGTCCACGGGCGTTGCAGATGGAGACTTCGTGTCGTATGTTGGGAAATGGTGCGAGGTTGGAGCTTCACTGGTGGGAGGCTGCTGTAGGACAACTCCTAACACCATCAGAGCAATTTCCAAGCTTCTCTCCACCAAGTCTTCTCACGCTTAGACCGAATTGAAGCACCTATACTAGCTACTAGCTACTAGCTAGCTTGTTGAATCAATGGTGTTGTATCCTTATCTATCTATTTGGCATGTGCCACTGAATATCTCATGTTAATAATAATAATAATAATGTACAGTTATACTTCATGATATTGTTCTGCCAATTACTATATGAAATATCTTTACATGTCAAGATTAGTATGTGTCTATTTTCTCAATGATCAATTTAAAATTTTCTCATTGTTTTAATTTTTACAAGGGGCGATGAGTTTCTTAATCTTGTTTTAGGTTTAGTTTCTATGAAAAGTGTGACGGTAAAGGATCAGTATATGTTCATCAAATAGAAAAGAGAATAGCTTTTTTCATGTGTCTACATCATAGGACTGCGAACCAAAGCGCCCATAGTTTAGCTAAGGTTGTTGGTTCACAGAATGGTCCACAAACTTGGGAGCATATCCCTCCAGGATGTATTAACTCGTTTTTGCATTTTTTATTTTAGCTAAGCTTGTTCGTTCACAAATTAGTCCACAGACCTGGGAGCGTATCCCTCTAGAATGTATTAACTCATTTTTGCATTCTTAGTTTTAAACTTTTAATTAGGGGTGTGCACTTCGGTTCGGTTTATCCGAACCGAACTAGTAATAGAAAATCGAACGGTATCGATCAGAACCGAATCAAACCGAACCGAACTAGTAATAGAAAATCGAACGGTTCGAGATTTTGTAACCCAAACGGTTTTGTACTGAACCGAACCGAAACCGAACGGTTTGACAAAAAATTGAACCGACCCGAACCGAATGCTATATAATTTTTTTTAATAATAATAATAATAATAATAATAATAATAATAATAATAAAGAAGTAAATCGAAGTTCCGTGATGCCTGCTCCGCTGTTCAGTTCTCATTCTTACTAGTACTGAACCTTAAATTTTTTATTTGATTTCTTTATAGCTTGTTTTCTACATTGCACTTTTGTTGTTTGTCGCAATTATTCTTTACCTCACAATTATATCTAACTGAGTTACATTTACAATATTCAGTATTTTCCTTAGTTTCATGTTTTTCTAAAAATTTAATGTGCTTTACAGTCATTCTAATTTTGATTTCCAGTGCACTATAATTATTTTCTAGTACTAGAATATATTTCGAGTGCACTAGCAATGATAGATTGTGTCCAAAAATTAACTATATAGTAATTGACACTAGTTCTTTTAATATCAATTATACAGATAGATGATTATTCATCTTATCAATAACAATATTCCAACTGAACCAACTGAAGAGTCGGTTGTGCAAAAACGTTAACTGATGTTTGGTAATTAGTACTTAATATTGTGTTTGAACTTTGGATTGCTATTTTGTTATATAATGTTTAGAGTTTGAATTTGGATTATGTGAATATGTATTAATTGGTAGTATGTTCGAAAAATTAGGAAATGTTGACATTTGGAGATCTTAAACCGAACCGAATTAAATCCGAACCGTTTCAAACCGAACCATTTCAAACCGAACCGAAACCAAACCTAACCCTAATGTTAAACCGAATGGTTTAACTTTTTTAAAACCGAAAAACCGTAATCGAAAAAAACCGAACCGAAACCCGAAACGCCCACCCCTAGTTTTAATGAAAGTTAGTTTTGCTCTTAGGGTTGGGGTTCAGCATTTTGGAAGAATGAAAGTTAGTTTTTTAAAAAAAAAGAAAAGAGGAGAATATACCATCCTATATATTATGCATGCTAAAAGACTTTTAAAAAGCTAAGGAATTGAAATAAGACAAATTATTTCCTTATGACTATCTACTCAAATCTTTATAAATCTCCAGGCGGCCGAATATATATACATTTCTTAATAGGAAAAAGTGTCAAATTGGCCCCCTAAATCGGGTGGATAGTGCAATTAGGTCCCCTAAGTGAAAAAAGCTACATTCAAGTCCCCTAAACAGGTAAAATTGTTCAATTAAGTCCAATTTGACTTGTTTATCAGGTTAAATCGATGTAGTGTTGACACGTGTCATTTTTTTATTTTATTTTTTAAAATAAAATGTTTTTTATTTATTAAAAATTAAAAATAATTATTTATTATAAATAAATAAATAAATAAACTAAACAATTAAAAAAAATTAAAAAGGAGAACAGCGTGAAGAAGACAGCCACCGGCTGTCAGACGCGGACAGTCGGTGGCTATTCTCTCTTTTTTTTTTTTTAATTTTTAATTTTTAATTGTTTAGTTTATTTATTTATTTATAATAAATAATTATTTCTAATTTTTAATAAATAAAAAATATTTTGTTTTAAAAAATAAAATAAAAAGGATACTTGTCAACATTACACCGATTTAACCTGATAAACAAGTCAAATTGGACTTAATTGAACAATTTTACAGGTTTAAGGGACTTGAATTGAGCTTTTTTCACTTAGGGGACCCAATTGCACTATCCACCCGACTTAGGGGGCAATTTGACACTTTTTCCTTCTTAATATTTAATTATTTATACATTTCATAACATTCATCCCTCAAGTTAGAGCATAGATGTTAATCATGCCCAATTTGTTACACAAATAACTAACTCGAGTTTCATTTAGGGCCTTTGTGAATAAGTCCCCTAATTGTTCTCCAGTCTTTACGAATTCAGTATATATTTTCATGAATGAAGTGGCTGTCGATCTCAATGTACGTGGTTCGTTAATGAAATACCAGATTGGATGCAATGTGAAGAGTCGCTTGATTATCTCACCATAGTTTTGCAGGATTTAGAGCTTTGAAACCAGATCCAAATCAGGAGGTTGTTTATTCAAATCATTTCACATGTTGATTGTGTCATTGCTCTATATTCAAACTCTACATTCTTGCGAGAAACCACATTCTACTTTTTGATATTCTACAAAATCATATTACGTCCAAAGAAAACACAATAGCCAGTTGTTGATCTTTGATTCTCTTTGGATCCTGCCCAATAAATATCAATGAAACACTCAATCTGAACATGATTCTTTTATAGAATTCTATGTACCAGGAAAATTTAACAAACTCATCAGCAGAGATCAAAACGGACTTGGCGGATGTATCATATTTATATTCAGTCATACCAAAAAAAAAAAAAAAAGAGATCACAAAACACACAAAATTGGAGCTTGAAGGAGTACGAGTCAAATTGACCGTAAAGCAAAAGTCATGAAAGACATATTGGTCCAAACCAAGTCCAGAACCGAGGCAAATGGACTTAGACGACCCAGAAATAGTCGATAGAAAAAAATTTTAGTCGCTAGAGAGATATCACGCATCGGCACGTGGGATGACGGCAACGTACAAAGGTTCAGGCACCAGCACTCTTCCCTAGGTGGGTGGTGATGACAGTGGAGCGAAAAAAAAAAGTATCCTAAAGACTCATAGACCATGTATGAAGATAAATGAATGGCGTATATATTTATCAAATAGAAAGGGGAATATACACCCTATCAAATTATTTAACCACCTATTCAAATCCTTATTATAAATATCCTTCAGTTTTGAATTTAGTCAAGCTCATTGCATAGTCATCCTTTTTGTCATGCTCGTGGTCGAGCTAGTTGCATAGGTGTGATAACCCAAAATTTAATTTTATAAATTTGGTTTTAAGAAATTTCAAAATAGCCATTTTTCACTTTATCAAAATTTTGCGATAAAATCGGTGTTTGAATAAATTATTTTGAACCACTTTTAAATAAATTCAACGCCGGGAATATTCTGTTTCAAATATCTTAAAATTCTTTCGGTTACATCACGTACCAAGAGTTTGATCCAAAAGTCAATCTGAGTGAAACCGGGAGAAATCTGAGGAATCTAAACTAAGTGGTTGTCTAGAAAGTATTTTTGGAAAAATGCATTTTGACCCCGAAAACTATTTTAAACTAAGATTCTAAACCTTGGTCCATGATACAAGGTGAACTAAGAACCTCCAAACAACTTTGTCTGATATTTTGAAGATTCAAGCCAAAGGACAATTTTATCCTCAACCAATCATAGGAGAATCTCCTAGGGTTTTGCACCCTTTATAAGCCTCATCATCCCATTGCTTCTCCTGATCTTTTCATTGCCTCTCCTCTCCCTTAGCTCTCTGTGAACAAAGAGGAAGCAAAGCAGTAAGTTTCCATCCAATCTCAACCTTCCATTTCCTTTTCTTTTAGTTTTTCTTCTTAGCTTCCATCTCTGAGAACTTAGTATTAAGGTTGTGTGGTTTGTTTGAGATGTTTAAGAGGTTAAGGAGGGTGTAGCTGACTTGAGAGGAAGATGGAATCCAACAAAAAGGAAAAAACTACAAAGGTATAACCCCATGGACTCCCAAAAGCTTATTTTGGACTCTGTGAAGTCTATTTTAGTGATTGAAATGCTTAGAAATGCTAGATTTTGTTGTGTTTGAGCTAGTAAGTGGTCTATTGTTGATCTATGATGTGTTGTTGATGATTTGGGAGAGTTGAAATGCTTGAACTTGCTTTTACAAATGGAAAGAGGCTCATCTGCTGCACAGACAATGTGCACCAGACAAGCTCACAGGCCTAGCCAACGACCCTAGGCAAGGCCGCAAGGACCATTGGTCAGCCTCGTGAAGAGGCGGCCTCAGGGCACGGCCTATGGCAAGGGCCGTGACCTTGAGCCGTGACTTGGCGGAGCCAAGCGGCGGGCCTCCTCAAGCCCCGCCGCAAGCTCCGCTAGTTTAACACCCCCGATTTTACCAACATTTTAAAATCTTAAATCCAAAGATAAACAACTAATCATCAAAACAATCATAAAGCGGAAGTTATTAAAAACCGTGAAGGTGTTATGCCACACCCATAACCCATGGGTGCACAGGCTAAATCTATCAAAATCATTAAACATAACATATGTCTAGGCACACAGGCCAACAAAAGCAACACATCTAACCACAGGAGCTACACTATCTAGAGTCCTCATCTAGCGCGCACTCCGGACTAAGCAAAACCTGTAAAACATGGGGATAACACCCGGTCAGCGAATAATGCTGGTAACCCATCAATACGCGTTAAATAGCATAGTATAGATAGATATAATCAAAGCCATTTGGAACTGAGGAATACAATATATAGTCATTTCAAAGCCAGAAGAAGGTCAACATCAAAGACTCATCACACTCTCGACAAGAACGGGGA